CACTAAAGCAGCCCAGGTCTGTAACTGGGCAAGTTGGGCTAATAAGTGGGAAGCAACATTCTCATCACATGTTCTAGACAATGACCACCTCCAGTGAGGGAATCCCTCCACTAGTAACATCCCAGCGGTTACCATTGAGCAGAAACTGAACTGGACCAGCCCACGTAAACACAGTGGCCCCAAGGGCAGGTCAGAGGCTAGGAATCCTACAGCGAGTAACTCCTGACACTCAGAAGCCGGTCCACCATCTGCAGGAGTGTGATGGAATACTCTGCACTTGCCTGGTCGGATGCGGCTCCAACAAACTTGATACCAGCCAGAAACAGAGCAGCCTGCTTGATTGGCACCATCTTCAACAATGAATTCTTTAACACAAACACAGTGGCAGCAGCACTTATGATCTCTATTATCAAAAAGAACAAGGGTAGTAAATTCATGGGAGCACCAGCACCTGCAAATCTCACTCCTAGCCATACACCACCCTGATTCGGAACTATATTATAGTTCCTTCACTGTCACTGGGTCAGAATCCTGGGACTCCCTTCCTACCAGCACTGTGGGGGTCCCTAAACCTCCACTATTACTCCTTATGGTCATGAATTCCACATTTTCAAGAATCTTTGTGTAAAACCATATTTCTTTTGAATTCTTTGCCAATTTCTTATATAGACAGCTTCTAGTTATGCTTTTCCCCACAAATAAAGATATTCTCAGCATCGACTCTATCAAAACCATATGGAAATGTAAAGGCCTCCTGTCACTCTTTAGCCTTCTCTTTCGCTCCCCTACTTCCCTAAAGAGAAGAGGGACAGCCCTTCAATCTTTTTCTGAGAGCTGTATCCAGGCATTTCTGGTATTATCCCTGTAAACTTTCCCTGCTCTCTCTGTATTTCCTTTCATGTTCATTTTATACAAGAATGACCAGACCTGCCCATGTGGTCTAACCAAGATTCAATGCAGGTTTATAGAATCATAGAATACCTACAGTGCAGAAGCAGGCCATTCAGCCCATTGGGTCTGTATTGACCATTTGAAGAGTATCCTGCTCAGACCAACCCCCTGTACCCATAAACACCATAGCCAACCCATCTAATCTATACATCTCTGGATGCTATGAGCGATTTAGCATGGCCAATGCACTGAACCTGCACATCTTTGGAGTGTAGGGAGAAACAGGAGCACCCGGAGGAAAGCCTAGCAAACACGGGGAGAATGTGCGAACTCCACACAGAGAGTCACCTGAGGGTGGAATCGAACCCAGGTCCCTGGCGCTGTGGGGTAACAGTGCTAACCACTGAGCCGCTGTGACGTCTGATCACATTCTTACTTTTCAATTCTATCAAAGCAGTTCACTTAATCAACACCAAGCCTTTAATGTCAGTGTAACATTTGATGTTGGATTGCTGGTGATCCATTTACCCAAGCAGCCTATGTCTATTTGTATTGCCTAGTTCAATAGAACTGAGGGACTGCAGCCTCCCTCTTCCTAAGCAATTCCTCTTTTTTTTTGGTTTCTTTTTAAATCACCCAGTTCAGAGATGTTGTTACCTTCCTTTAGAGCAGGGGGAATTGAACCCAGGCCTCCTGGCTCAGAGGTAGGGGCACTACCAAAGTGCCACAGGATCCCCAAAACAATGTCGCTTAACACGTCATTCAAAGAGCAGCCAGCTGCTCTTCATTATTCCAGAAGCATATCCTGATTCATTCACAAGATAACAAGGTGCAGGGCTGGATGAACACAGCAGGCCAAGCAGC